AATAAGCAAGTCCTGTTATAGGCAGGCAGAAGAATACCCCAAAGAAATAATAATAAAAAAACAAGTTCAGGATATACACCAAGGCAAGATTTCTTTTCTCTTTTCTTATACAGATACATGTATACATGATTTGACACCCAATATGCAACTGTGATTTGCACAACTGGCACATAGATTATAACAATATATATTGTATGTATCAAAAACCCCCTTTACACATTACAGTTAAAATGTGATTAACCAGGTAATCACACTTTAAGTTGTGAGCCAGTTACACATTCTACCAATTAATGGCATGATAAAACAAGCACTAGTCTTCAAAGTTATTTAAAAAATATGAAATAACTGTGTAGATTGGTCTAACCATGCCATTAATTGAACATGTGCCCCCCTGTGGCTGGGAGCCCCATCAAATGAGAGGTTCCCAGCCAGTGTGCTGCCCTCACTGAGCCATGTCAGCTGTGGGACTTGTAGTGGGGAGAGCACTGCTGCTACTGTGAGTCTCATCAACTTTGGGGCTCGCACTGGAGGCAGTGGAGAGAAGGCTGCTGTCACTGCATGCTCCCCACCTCACAAGGCTCACAGCAGTGCCAGCATTCTCCCTTCTGCCCCCTCTGTGAGCCCTGAGCCCCACAACCAATGAAGATTGCAGCATTCCAGTGCCCCTGCTGCATGTTGGCTCATGATCCCAGTCCCCCTGCATCATAAAAAGGCATGATGGGATCTAATGTAAGATTGTGAGGATTACATATTAAATCCTATTGCACAGTTACCTGTGTAGAGAGGCCCAAAGTGCAAGTATGTGTGGGTTTGCATATGTGCATACATCACTATGGTTTAGGATTAGATTTTTAAAAGCGTGAAGCCTTCAATCATTACAAAATTGTGTGCCTGACTATAGAAACTGCACATAAAACACTTGCATGTTCAGGCAGTGTAAACATATCTAACCTGTCATGTATATGTGTTAAAGCGATCAGTTTGCTCATCCCAATTAATGCTATGGACAATGCTATGGCCATTTTAATTGTTACAGAAATACATAGAATTCTACGAGCATTTCTACCCACATTCAAAGGCTTTCTATGTAGAAAACTCACAATATTAAATTATATTACATGCTACTTAGCTACTGGTGTAATACATACAGAGTTTAATAATATTAAATTTATTATCATATACCTTTGACCACTACACCTGTACTTGCCCAATAATGTCTCCCAAGGACTTATTCTATATTACAAACTGTGGTAGGGCACCACCCACACCACTTTAAGGGGCTTGAGCAGGCTGTGGAGCAGCTGGCAGGTGTGGTTAGGCGCAATAAGGCAGTCATATGACTGCAAGGGAGCTACCAGATTGGATAAGTGCTGGGCAGCCAGGGTATAAGCATAGGCCCTAGGAGCTGAGCCTGCAGTTACATCTATGGAGTCAGAGAAATGACATCATAGCCTGCTGACTACATTTCCCAGAACATCTGGAGGTCAAGGTTGGAACTATGGGGATGGAGGAGGTTCCTGGTTCTGGGTAAGACCTGAAACTGCACTCTACTGGAGTTGGATGGTGTGATTGGATGGTGTGGTGGGGCTGCCTGTGGCAGGGTAGTCTCAAGGAAATGCCACACCTGTGCCTTTCCAGTGAAAGGCAAGGATGGGATGCCATAGAGCCTTAGCACTTGCTGCTTTGTGGGTACCCAGTGGAGGGGAAAGTCTAGGGAAGCACACCCTGACAGAAAAGCACAGGGTCCAGGCCCATTAATTGGGGCTTGAGACAAGGGCCAAGGCACACTGAGTGGGACCTGAGGCCCATGAGGTGTAAGGCCCAGGTGTCCACTAAGGGGAAGAGCAATGGCCCTAGTGAGGGGGCAGAGAGGCCAAGGTACGTTTGAGGACACCTGAGGCCCAATGTGGGCCAGGGGCCGAGTGCAGCCCAGCTAAGGGGGTGGGGTAGTTGGAAGTAATTTTGGATGCCATCTGTGAGGCATGGGACAGTATAAGGGGAGGTTCAGAACCATGTATTTCACTCTTCATATCAGGGCAACCAAATGGGCAGCCTCCCACATATAAATACCATTTTTTGGAAACATCAAAGACATGGCAGGCGCCGCAGAGTGGACTGCCTTAAACAGGTGGGCGGGCCGATGTTGGAACCAGCCTCGAGACGGCTCCCTGTCACACAAACCTCTACACCACTTAAAGTTACTGTCATAATATGGGAGAATAATGCCAAAGAAATGTTTCTCTGCCCTGAGCTAAAATTCCAGTCTTATCTGAAATTCTCCTTTACTTGCACCAGATTATATTGCTCTTTGGTGTTGGACTGATAACATTCTAATTTGGATCAGTGACAGATTTAACCTTATAACCTTTCAAAGTTAACTAAATATGCTTCCTACCAACTTTAGTTGGCTGGCAAGTTAGGAATATTTCTTCAATAGTTAGATGTTATACGTAGACTATCCTGCGGAATGTTAAGTGATCTTAAAGTTAGAACGTACACTAAGCATTTATACGTTAAGAGTTAATACCATTTCCTGCCTGCAGTTGCCGTGAGAGGGCTGATGTACAGGCACATAGTCTGGGCACCTGTGGTACCTATACATGAGTGCTAAGGCTGCTCTGGTGTGCTGGAATTCCAGTGCATCAGAGCAGTCTCAATTCACTGTGCTGGAACATGGCAATTGCTGGGCCCCACAGCCTCTTGCATTTCATGTGAGCACTTAAACTAAAGCTCATCAAACAAGCTTTAGATCAAGTGCTCCTACTGCCATTTTAAAGCTCAGGGATGCTAATAGAAGAGATTCAGTGGTGCTTTAATTAGAGCAGCTCTTGAAGCCTCTCTAACTAAAGCGCCCCCACCCCCAGAGCAGGGGTAAAAGTACCCTGTGGCTCTATCCCTGCTCCAAGGAAGGGAGTGGTGCATCCTCGTATGCTGGAAGTCTTCAAATTCCCTTTTTTAAATCTCTGTGGAGCAGACTGAAGTTACCCTGCCATGAGCTAGGTAGCATGGCCCAGACCTTAACCTTTGCCTGAAGTGGCATAATTTGAGATCCTCAGGGGCCACTTAATGTGAATTAATGAGCTTTAACTTGCAGACACTCCTGTTTTAAGGTACACCTGAGGTGCAACTTCACCCTTAGAATGTGCTTCAGAAAAGGTGTCACTGTACCCTTTTTACAGGATGTATCCTAAAAGCCCTTCTCTTATTCTGCTTTGGTCCTGATATACCATGTGGTGCAAAATGTTCATAAGGCTCTTTTGGGGCTGTTTTAGACAGTCTAGCATTGCCAGTATAGCTTTGGTTCTCCCCTGCATTCCATCTTTGCACTAATTTTAGTGAGCTTTAATTAAGTGTTCCCCAACCAGTGTGCTGAGGTACAAAAGTGTGCTGTCAGAAATGAACAGGTGTGGAATTTTGCCATGGCAATGAGCAATAATGACCTACAATAGGTATGAGGCTGGGGAATGCCTTAACAGGTATGCTGGAGAAAATTTTTATTAATGTAAATGTGCCTTGGGCTGGAAAAGGTTGGGAAACACTGCTTTAGGTCACGCCTATTTAATTTATTACAATTTTCTGTACATTTCAAATTAAGGTAATGTATAGCCACCTGGCCAATGTAAGTATATTTTTACAGCAGCAACACAATGACATCTGAGTCCATTATAAAGATTCCTATATGCTGCAGCACTGCAAGTAACAAATAACAATTAGATGCTGTGTCAGCCTTCTATGCATTCAAATGCATGGCATAGTAGCATGTTGCCTGACTTTTGAATTATTTCTTCATTCTTCTTCAGGAAATTATGCAAAATAGAAATGTTCATGTGGGGATGTTTGAGCCAATGGAACCAAAGTAAAATAAAACCAGTATGGAATAAATAAATATATGTATTATAGAAACCACAAAGCACCATTTTATTATTGCCTTTCTAGTGAGATTCCTAAAAATTGCTCAAAGTAATGAAGTCCTAAAACAATCCTGTTAATATTCTACTCAAGGTTTCTGCTCTGCAGAGCTGACAAGAGCTGTATGCAAATAGTTTTGCTCATGGCAAAGGAATGTTTCATCATCAAGGAGCATGGCCTGTCTCTCTATGATCAAAAGAGAAAACATGATGATGTTGTAGAGTGTTATTATGACCAATCCAATGGTTTGCTCCTCAAAAATAGGGATAGTTTCCCTTGACACAATTTTATATTTAAAGTTACTTGATCATTAATTGTATACACTGACACAGCAGAAATATTCCTCAAAGTAAGATTTCTTTGATGTGACAGATTTTTTTTTTCCTTTTTATGCTGAAAATCCAAGCCAGACTTAAGGAAAATCTAATTATGTGAAATATTTTGTCTTCCCTTCTTTCCCTGAGGTCCTTCTGTTGGCTGGGGTGAAAGTATTCTAAGTGAAGTTTTTGATAGTTATTTTTTGTAGAGTGAATTATAGGGTAAACATATCCCCTGTTTATTCATGCATACATTCTTTTCAAATCTGCCTGTCTCCGCACTAAATGTTTATGCTTAACAAAATGTAATTGGTCTTCAAAAAAAGACTGCATCCTAAAATAGCAAGATAAATTAAAGAAACAAGAAGGAAAACTCTAAATCAACCTTATTGTTAATAATTGTTTTCAGTAATTTTATGAAAGCAGAGAAGATCTTATGATGAAGATGATGGAGGTAGTATAAAAAGCTCCATTAATATTTCTGGCTTTGTGTGAACTGATAGTATATTGTCTTTGGAATTTTTTGGAATAACCCCCCCCACATTTTAAAGTATGGTCACAATTCAGATAGCAGGTTCCTTGCCCAGGCCCTGGTCCATCAAAGTATTTAAGCAAATATAAAACTTAAATGAGAAATGCCATTGGAAAATAGTGAGGCTAATTAATTATTTAAAATTAGTTTTTAGTGTTCTGAAGGATATGGGTCTTAGAAATTTCCATTTCTTAAAAAATCTGACTTTTTATCTAAAGTTTTGATTTTCTGTCTCTTTGCAGGTAACCCAATAGCTGACGACAAATCAAGTCAATCTCACGGCTGATGACCTTAAATACAACGTATAGAAATTTCAACAAGCAGTCCTTGAAGTGAGATTTTATACTGCTGGGGTGTGTCCTTCAGAACCAATTATTTCAGTGAGAACCTCACTTGTTATCAGCAACAGTCTTGAGATCAAAACTACTGAAAAGTCATTGTGAACTTCTGTGTCACATAGATTTCAACTGATTCAACTGTGTACACTTGTAAAATTGCACTTGCTGAGGATTTTGTGGCTGCAATCTCAAGAGGTGATGCTCCAAAGGTGCAGAAAAGGCAGCAATCTTTCGGGTTCTCCATTCCAGACTGACAGCTTTTCATCTTTGCAAAGACAGCCTTCAAAATGTACTGGTCCTTTCACTCAAAAACGTTTCTTGGTCCTACATTCAAATTGTTGGTGGGACTGCACACCACTTTAATCAAATTTCTGTTGCAGAAATTGTCCTCTGGCATGGCACAGTTTTAGACATTTTTATTTGTATTCTAATCTTAAAGCTCCAAAATGCTACATATTTCAACATCTTGAAGTTGCTTTCGTTATAGGAATGGAAATATATATCCATTGTTAATAATTATTGTTGACAAGTAATAGTTATCTGAGTACATCAGTCATATTAGAATGTATAGTCAAGCCTGACATGTTTCCCTAAGGCTAACTAACTACTGCAGCTCTTTGGCAGATAAATAAGTGGTGGTCAAAACTCAATTACCATTTGCATTAGAAAGTATTTTATACCTTACAATATACATTTCTGTTTAGTTTAAAGATTGGGGTTCCTGCTATGTACTTTAGTTTCTTAACAGTAAATCCTTCTAAGTTCACAATAAGCAGTAAATGATACTAATTAGTTCCTTCTTGTAAAGAGAGAGAGGGATGCATGTGACTTACAATTCTGAGATTGGATGGTGATCATTCAGAATTTCTTTTAGTTATTATTTAAAATAGAACCTATCTTTTGCTTGGATGCAAGTACTGTCCAGATGCTTATGTAGATGTCTTCTCAGTCTCCTTGTTGATAGAGGAAAAATAATTCTCTTCAACTCTACTGTTCATTAATATTTTGCTTACTCTTGTCCCGGCCAGATCTTCTGGTCCTTCCTATAGTCATTTTCTCAAAATAACATTTATTTTCCTATTTTCTACTTCAGTAGTATTTTTTTTTAACTCTGTGATGTGCTGTTCCATGAAAACCCTTAATATTTAAAGGCCTTAAACATCTATGAACTTTTTTCTAAGTTGTTACAGAATGTATAATTTTATACTCCATTTAATATATACAGCATCATCTGTAATAATAAGACAAAGGGGAGCTGACAATTCTTTGCTGTACTGTATTGACACTGCATAAGCATGCCAACTGGAGAGAGTGAAAGAGTTATATTATATGCTTTGTTTAGTACATTGAAATGAAGATCATGCAAACTCAGATTTAGTAAGAAAAACTGTGGGGGCAGTCTCATTCAAATGGCCTGCATGGTTACTAGCATCTTAGAAAAAGAGGGAAATCTTTTGTATTGTTACAAGTCATTTGACATGGCTAACTAGATATAAATTAGGTTCCATGATGAATGAATACCCTGGGGTGTGCTGATCTGTCACACTAACCAAGGCTGTTCTAAGACCATTTCATTACCTCTGCTGTATTATTGCACAGGACAGCTAAAAATTAATGATTGTTGGAAATAAATTTGGGATGTATATTTTGTCATTTTGCTGAGGAATAATCAAAAGCATTGGTGGGGAAAGATATTCTTTTCTAATTCAAATTTAATTAGGAGAAACTGTTTAAAACAGCAGTTAACTATCTCAGTATTTTAAAATGGATTACCATTGTGTGGATTGATGCTATAAGAGGTGCAAGACTGAAAACAGCATCTTAAGGAGATAAATCCTTTATTTGGGACAGTTGAAACTACAAATGTGTTATTTTCTAGAATATGAGTTTGGCCTCAATTTTGGTCAAACTTCTGCATCATGCTTCTCAATATTTGTTTTCTTTGACTTTGTTCTTAAAATCAACACTGCAAATACTGTATTATATACAAGTGTATCACATGCATATCAATAGGTGAAAATAAATGGATTTTCAAATATACAGAATAGATTATCTGCGGTAGATTAATGTTGTGACTATTCAAAGCAAGTGAATAAAATTGTGATATAAAATGCACTCCCCTGTATGGATCTACACTTTGAAGATCTGTTCTGTTTACCCATAGAGCAAAGGAATTTTTCCTCACTAAGAAAGAAGGTCAGTGACTCTATTAATCTTGTGTTTCTTAAGGAAAAGTATTCTACTCTTTTCAGAAAGAAAGAACAAGTATTTGATCATTGCTTTGGAAGATGCACATGTTTTGATCAAACAATAACTGTAGACTGTTACTGTAACGGTAAGGTCAAACAAAATTAGGAATATCCATCCCTTGGGAACTGATGACAAACATGCATTTGTTTTCAGTCTTGATTGGGAAAACAATTAAAATTTTGTTTTCTCCTACATAATAGCAATACGGGAAAAATGTTTTGGAAAATAAAATATGTAGCCATTCTTGAAATTGAAATGGTTTGCTTCAGTTAGGTGATCCAATTAAAAATATAATAAAAGAAACACTTTCATTTTGAGCCAATTCAACATTAAACTGCATTTTCCTGTTATGGTGCCTTTTTTCATAGAGACTAACATTCAGGAACTTGATGGTAACTTTCTTTCTAAAGGGACATGCTTCCTGGCTGGACGATGATACACTTAGAAACATCAGACTCTCTTGATGCACAAAGAGCTTTGTCAGAGGGAAGTCTGCATTGCATTATTGAAGCAGTAGTCCTTCAAGTAGTCTGCCCCACAGGAGGAAATGAGATCCCAAACTGCACCTACTATAAGACAATGCACTGTTTGTTTTAAACTTAGAAGAAGTGGTGTTCTGGTTAGTTCAACAAAATGGAAAGTAAATTCTAATTCATATCATTCTAACAAAATACTTTGAAACATTAAATAACACTTTAAAAAGCACTTGTAAGAATGTATCTTGCTTATGTCTTCAATATTGGTCAATAGAAGTAAGCACTTGCCTGTGAAATATCACTGGTATTGCCACTTTTAATATCCCTGGATTGATTGCTTCCAATATTCTTGTTAAAGCAGCCATCCTGATTGAGAATTTTATTCTGTAGAATTTAAGTAATTTGCTAGAGCACCACACTTAATTCAAAGCCATTTTCTTTGATATAATGGGTTTCAGACATGCTCAAATGCTTTACATCGTTAAACAAAATGTATAGAATTATTTTGCTTTGAAACTACAGCATGGTATAAAGTAGATTATGCTTTAAGTGATCTTTCCTGTAATTGTAAATCATACATGCCTATACAGTTTGTTTACAACTTGTGATTACTTAGCTATATATCTATTTATACAGCACGCAGATCTATACAGTATGCATATGAAGCACTATGCTGTGATTGACACCATCCTGTTGATTTATGGACTCAAGCTTGAAATTTCTGTGCATCAGCCATTATCTGAGATAATGGTTTTGGTTTTGATGTTCAGTGCAAATGTTATCTTCATTTTTTGTTGTTGTGGTTGTTTTATTTTCTTCCTGATAGTTAGTGCCGATAGTTAAGTAGCTCAGCATCAAAAATGTTACAGATAAACTATCTGATGGAATTAAATGGTTTTCTCACAATTTCAGTCCTATTAAATGCCATCAAGAATACTATATAATTGCTTTTGTAAGTCTTCACAGTTCAGTTCTTATTTTTTTTTTATGTTATGGCATTAGAAAATGTTCCCAAATTACATCTGTACAGTCATTTATACAAGAGCTTACAAAAAAATCTGCTACCACTTTACAGTCATTCCAAATATTTTAGTGAAATGTCCTCATTGTCTCCCCATTTTGCATCCTCTGTTTGTTGCATCACGTCTGTTCTTATTATAAGATGTAATAAATGTAAGATCTGAATTTTCTACTACATCATTCTGACAGCTGATGACATGTATTGCCAACATCTCTTATTGTAAAGACCATCTTAAGAGTGCCTGGCAAGAAAACTGTTTCTAGTGACATATCAAATATTATTCTATGCCTGCATGTACACATGCTCTCTCTCTCTCTCTCTCTCTCTCTCTCTCTCTCTCTCTCTCATTCAGATTAAGTGGTATCCCAGACCCAGGAATAGCAAAGGGAAGCCCTGGTAGCAGAGTTCCACCAATGGTGGTATTATGGATAAAACATCCTTTCCTTTCCCCTGTTGCTGAATTTGGGGGGGGATGGGGAAAAAGCAAGTACCAACAGGTTCCACAGCTGATTGAAAGCAGGGGCATTAGCAGGCCTCATGCTGGTGAGTTCATGGAGCTCACAGCATGTCTGGGGCTCCAAGCAGCTAACCTGTTGGTGAGCACTGAGAACTCATTGGCACCTAATCACAGCAAGGGATTGCAGCCACATTCACCTTTAACTGTGGGGCACATGCACAGTAAGTTCTTTGCACTGTGCCTGAGCCCACTACACCCCTGTCACTGCAATGTTGGATCAACCCATGTTCTTATTCAACAGTACCTTAACAAGAGGTGTAGACCCTCAGAAAAAAAAAATCTGTTTATTAGTTGCATACCTCTTAAAAAAGACATGAGATGTTCCTAGCATTTAGATGCTTCTGAAGTGGACTAGATTTGAATGACTAGAAATGGTTTATTTTCAAATTAATTTATCCTTTCTTGCTAATCTGATGAAACATTTTCTGGATTTATGATTTATTCCCTCAGTTGTCAGGAGCAATGTGTAGGTAGCATGGAACCATATTTCACAATTATTCAAAATATTGATCTTCGGTGATGGAAATCTGGGAAGTCCAATGCTAGTTACATGCAATTCCTTCTCAAGAACCCATCTTGGGCTGAAAGAATATTAACTGGAGTATTAAACATCTTTAACATTTAACTTGCTTTGTCCAGCTTTAACTCCCATTGCCTGGATGTGGCAGAACTCTACCAAACTGGGTACCTGCTGCTTTATTCATGACACCGTCATGAGTAGGTATCTGCTAATCCTTTAGCTTCCTGTACTACGTCTTTGTGGTTAGTTCTAGAAGCACAAATTGTTTACATAGCTGGGCCATTACTTGAGAGTAAAGCGCATAAAACCTCCCTTCAGTTATGAAGAGTTTAACTCACTTTGCTTTCATTTCCTTTGCCTTATTTTTTCCCTCCTTGAGATAGGATTTAGCAAGTTCTGATGAAAATTCAGTGCAGCTGAGAGAGGTAAGTGCTTTATTAATAATGTCCTGGAAATGACATAAGAGGTTTTCAGTACTTTTGGGTGCAGTATACTAGTTACATCATCAGTTCTGCAGTAGTTTCCAGCATAGGCCATTCAGCTGGAATGCAAATATTTTTGTGTCAGCATAGATAATCTGTACTTTAATAGGCCCACTGATCATAAAGCTGATGGACTGGCTGCCTCTGTGTGGCAGATTACCTCAGTAGAATTTACAAATGGAAGATGATGATTTTGCTAATGTCCATGAGCAGGTAGACAGAACTTGGTCCCAGCTGCTCTGTCTAATGTTCAGGGCAAAAGGGACTTGAAAACAATGCCTCCATATGCCATAATTGCTTGAATTATTTTTCAGGCATATTCCCTTGTCATCCTTCATATGTAGAACTCATTAGATTCCTAGTGGGAGAACATATGGAGGGGGAAGATGATGGAAAACACTGTAAAACAGATAGTATATTTACATTTATATTATAAAAGACCTCTGTGTACACAGCAAACAAAATGGAGAAAGTTCAAACTCTTCCTTCCCACATCATAATCGAGTAAACATTTATGACACTATCATCTCAGTTCAATTAGAATACTCTTAAAAGTATTGCATGGAATCCTGGATCCATTGATGTCAAATGGGAGTTTTGCCATTGACTACACTGCACCCAGAATTTCATCCATGTGTCCTAAAGTCATAATGAAATCATGAATTTGCAAAATGCTATGCTGGAGCCCCACTGATTTCCTTGGACTCTTTGTGAAGTCAAGAGACCACTCACATGGGCTTGTCTACAGTTTCAGGTCTTAGCCTTTATAGTTGCTACAGCCATGACTTCTGTGTTGTGACTTCTGTTACTTTTAGGATTTTGCTTTTCCACAAAACTAGGCTTTTTCACTCAGTTGCCTAGTGAACAAGATTTTTCCAAGGGTTTGTATTAATATGCTTCTTTATCCAGTAGAAAGGTGGATTTTTTCAGTGGTTTTAAACCATTAGGAATTTTTTTTACCTTTTCACATGATTTCCTATGATGAAAATACAATGACAACTTAAACTATTGTGTACAATGACTTTTCTTGTTTTTAATTTAAAATGATCATTTCATGGTTTTGTCACAACAAAAGAAAACTGTTCCCCTTTTTCCCCAAATATTCATGTGTTCTGTAGGGAGAGTGTATTCCACCAGAGTTAAGATGTAATATAGTTCAGTGACTTAACAAACAGGAAGAATCATTACCGCTCAACTCTTAAGAATAAAATGTCTGCAGAGTTAGTGCCACTTCACTGTGCTCTGCGAGCTGAACAAAGCGACATGGCAGATGGATGTATTTTAGGACACTAGGGAATTGAGACCGCTACCTGACTAGGGAGGAAGCAATGATGTGATGTTCTCTATATTAAAATCATGCTATATGAAATAATGCTGCTGGGGCAAAGAGCACCACTGGCAATATTTTATATAGTGTTGCTTCTTAGAATGGTTGTTCTTAAAAATGATGGCAGAGTTCATATTGGATGTGTGAAAACCCCAAAACAAAAGCTATCCAGGAACAGGAAGTAGAACCATTGAGCCATTTATGTTATGTTCATACACCGGTCATTTCATGAGCCCATGCCAGTTAAAATGTACCTCACAGCCTGATGGAGATTGTTGATGTCTGATTTCCACCTGTGTGCACTGCAAATCAGTGGGACAAATGCATTTTCCAGATTCTTATTAGTATACTCCTTTCTTCATTACATTACTGGTTATTCATTCTTTATGATACATCTGTATCATCCTTTTCATCAACTATTGTGCACTTTTTTATAGTGTTAAGGCCCATGAAACACCTTATAGTTATATGTTTGATTGGTAATAGGGTAGGAAACTGGAAGACATGCTGAAACAGAGTT